AACAATTTGTTGTTATCGTTAACTAAAACTATTACAAAACATTTTGTTAACTGAAATAAAGCTGAAATGAAATATACTTATAAGATGCATTTTAAAAAAAATGTTTACTAGGCAACTAACTGATATATAAATTAAAACTATTTGGAAATTTGAAAAAAAAAAAAAAATCTAATAAAAATGAAAAAAAAAAAAAAATAATAATAATACAAATTAAAGCTAATTCAAAATGAAAAAACTATGCAAATAATACTAAAATAACACTGATATTAATCAATATCGTTGAATATTTAACAATAGAAGCAGCACAAATCATTTTGGTGTGGCCATTTTATAATTTTGTGTCGCTTAGTCACATTGGATTTGCCGTAAACAGGCCTTTGTACACCGAAATGCTATCACTTCCTGTTAATCTTCTTCAGCACACAAAGCTCTGCATGCAGTTTTCTGGGTCACGGTGCCTTGTGACCCAATTCTGCCTATGAAACTTTATTAAATGATAACGTGCATTTGCTGCATGCTCTTCAGCACAGCGCCAGATCACGATGCCAGACCCCTTAAACAACCGAAACAGAACAGCATGTCACCAGCCATCGGTCACGTTATTCACCCACTCTGTTCGTCTGTCCTAGAGATTTACCTGCGTGTAAGTCGTCAAAACCGTGTGATCGCGCAGTAACGACCGTGAGCCGTGAGAGAGGGGATTATTGGACTGAAGAAGCTGAGGGAGGATGAATGGGATCAGAGCCGTTCGATTGGTCGAGAGTGGCGGGACTGATCCCTACAGATGGCTGCGGTTACCATGGCAATGGAAGGATCAGCATCAGCATCCTTCCAGAGAGCCAAAAGCGGCGAAAACTAGCATGACGCTCACACAAACAGCCCATGCCTCATCAGCATAATTAAAAGACACATTTACAGCTTCGTTCGTCATCGACCTAAATATTTTCTGCTGTTGGATACAATGTTTTCTTCCTCTGACCTTGCCGTCCTCCACTTTTCACTCCGTATATGCTATTTATGTCCTCACATTTATGCACACATCTGCTTCTTTATTGCTTCTAAAGCTCATCCCTTCGGTTTGAATCAGACTCATCCCCTCCGACAACTAGATACAATTCCTTTGCCTCAGAGATGAAAGATGAAAAGGACACGAGGAGAGAGAGGAAAAGACGAGAAACTGAGGGAAGGAGGTACTAAAATAGCTCCATGAACACGCAAACAGGAAGGTTGAGAGAAAAAGTGTAGGAGAAAATAACAACCAGAATGAAAAAGGCATCTTTAGCCATTATATTACAAGAATTCAATGCTGAATCAACCACGTCTCAACAGATGCACACAAAATCTCTCAAGGACACGCCAGACTCTCGGGACGCTCCATCCTACCTGACAGTTAAAGCCAGTATTCTCTGAGGATCTGTGTTGCATGCTGTCTGCAGCGAGTCCCGACGACCGTCCCTTATCCCAAGGAGAGGAAATGTGCGGAGAGGACACCCTAAAGAGCAGCTGAGGTTCCTCTGCGCACTTCTCGCCGCGCTTCCCCTTCTGACACAGCGGGAGCCCTGTTCGCCGGGGCTGTGTTGTCCAACTGTTGAGAACGAGATGTGCAGCCTGTGTTTGACAGGCGTCTGTCCACCAATGGGAGTGGAGACTAGGGCGCCGACATCACTGGCTGTGTGGACTGGTATCTGAGCTCGGGCTGTATGAGCACGTGTGCTCGGTGATTCACGCTCTGTGTGCAGCTCTGAGCTCCCTCCTCTCTGTATTCCAGCTAAAACATCAACATCCTAATGTGTCTCGTGCATGATGGGAAATGCAGTGTTTCAACCTTTAGCCGTTTAAGGAGACACGGAGTGCCGTTTCATTTTTAGGAGCCAGTTAAAGCTAGGCTATATCTATTAGAATCAGTTTTAAGATTTTGCCCACACACATTCAAATATCCAAGCTCTACAAGTAAAATTCTTCATTTTCTATTTGTGTGCCTCTCAGAATTGAATTTAAAGAGATAGTTTACCCAAAAATGAAAATTCTGTCATTAAAGGGGTCATATGATGTTGCTAAAAAGAACATTATTTTGTGTATTTGGTGTAATGAAATGTGTTTATGCGGTTTAAGGTTCAAAAAACACATTATTTTCCACATACTGTGCATTATTGTTTCTCCTCTATGCCCCGCCTTTCTGAAACGCGTCGAGAAAAAAATCACATTTACATAAGTATTCACAGCCTTTGTCATGACACTCAAAATTGAGCTCAGGTGTATCCTGTTTCCACTGATCATCCTAGAGATGTTTCTACAACTTGATTGGAGTCCACCTGTGGTAAATTCAATTGATTGGACATGATTTGGAAAGGCACACCTGTCTATATAAGGTCCCACAGTTAAAAGTGCATGTCAGAGCACAAACCAAGCCATGAAGTCCAAGGAATTGT